CAAAGTTGAAGTTTTGATAAAAAATAGGTCATATTCGGAAGGACGCAGTGGCAACATTTTCAAAAAATAGGACAAGTTTTTTACGCCAAAGCGTTCTGCGTAAAGATACCTTTTAGAAAACTATAAAATTGTTATATGTTCTTAATAAAAAATTTATTTTATTAATAAAAGAGTTAAGACACATTTTTGGCAAAAAAACGCCAAAAATCTAAAATTTTTTGAATTTTTAAATTAAAAAACGTATATTTTTGTATCTGTAAACGATATTGATCTGAAATTTTTTGTATATTATTGGAAATTTTGTTGTCTAACTAACAAGAAAAAATTGAGTCCATTTGGTCCAAAATTACGCCCGGTATTCAAAAAAAGGCGGACCAAGGTATGGTAAATTTTGTATCACTAAATTTTTAAATGCCTATAACTCGGATATTATAAGAGATAAGTAGTATGTCCAAGCATGTTTTTTCAAGATCTCGTCGAGCGCTTTCACAAAATATAAAAATCTTTGTATTTGGGTGAAAAACAAAAAATGGCACGAGTTTAAAAATTTTACATGTCGTAGGTACCCTACTTTGAGCCGCCACAGCGCCGTCCCTGGGGCATCTGCAGGGTTCATCTTCAAAACTTAAACTCGAATACTCCTTGGCTACGCTCACGCCAAATTTTATCCCGATCGGATCAGCCGTTTAGAAATGCCAGATTTATTTCCAAAAAATTTCCATTCTGCCCCACTGTGCGGTGGTCAACAATGCTAAGCTTTTGCCCATTTACTCTTTTAATCTTTAGGTTAAGTTCTGTTAAAGTCAACTTTGTGAAAAGGCGGAAATGTTATTTCCAAAGTTACAACTCTTTGCCCTTTATTAATGCAACATTTCTAAAGACTGAAGAGGGCCACATTTTTTCAATATTAACTTAACATTTTATGAATTTATTCCTTCCAATTAACAGTTTTTATACAAAATCCCTTTTTATCTCAAGTTTTAAATATGCGTGTTTTGTTTTTAGATTTTTTTTTTTTTTTTGCGTCTGTAATATATTTCTTTTGTGAAATGTGTAAGTCAGTTAATTTTGTTGAAAAATAGAATATTTTGTTTGTACATATGTAAGAGAATATAATATTATATACAATTTATACAATATTATAAATAGATATACAACAATGTATATTTTGCTAGTTAACCATCTAGTTGTGTATGTAAGTGTATAAAAAATGTATGATTGTTATTTTAAATTAGGTTAAACGTGATTTGACTTTTTTTGTTTTGTTTTTTATACATACATACATATACAATATTACAGTAATCATACATACAGTTACTTACTATTCGTACTAAAAAATATAGTATTTTTGGTGTGTATTTTTTTAGAAGAGTGAATGTTGGTTGGTTGGTTCGAATTTGTGGTAACTAGAGTGAAAGATTTGGTTATTTTTTTTCTTTGGTTTTTGCCAAAGTTTTGCAGTCTATGAAATTAGTTTTTAGGTCAGACATAATAAATGACTAAAAAACAAATTTAAAAAAGACAAAGATTATTATAGATTTAATACTTTTACTTTACTGACATTTCGCTAATGATGTCTTCTTGAAAGTTGCAGAGAGAAAAAAGGTTTTATTAAAATTTATAATGACAATGTTGTCGTTATTTATAATTTATTTTGTCTTTTTCTACAAAATTTCTAAATTTTCTCTTCTTTTTCGTTTTCGTCTTCTTTTAGAAAAAGGTTTGGATCATATTGGTGAAAATATCTTATCATATTTGGATGCAGATTCCTTAAAGGCCGCTGAATTAGTATGTAAAGAATGGTTGCGTGTTATATCGGAGGGTATGCTCTGGAAGAAATTAATCGAACGTAAAGTTCGTACAGATTCCTTATGGCGTGGCTTGGCCGAACGACGTGGTTGGATTCAACATCTATTTAAACCACGTCCTGGTTCTATACACAGACCACATTCTTTCTATCGGGCATTATTTCCTAAAATTATGAATGTAAGTTAAAATTTTTATACAAATTTTCGAAAAAAGTTTCCAAAATTTTAACTTTTTATATAAAATTGATCATTTAATAGAAAATTTAAATTTTTATAAAGAGAATGATTTCACTTTTTTTTAAATTTTTGAAAAAATTTCACTTTTAGAAAATTTTTCAAAAAATTTCAATTTTTGAAAAAAATTTAATTTTAGAAATCTTTTGAACAAATTTTACTTTCAGAAAATTTTTGAAAAATTTTCACTTTTTTAGAAAAATTTTAAAAAAAATTTGGAAAAATATCACTTTTAGAAAAACATTTTAGAAAATTTCACATAATAATATTTTTTGAAAATTTCACTTTTTATAGAAAATGTCCAAAAAAATTCACTTTTGATAGTTTTTTTTCTTTTAATATCGAGTTTTATAAAAAAATTTTACAAATTTCAAAAAAAAAAATCAATTTTTTATATAATTTTTTTTTTTGGAAAATTTCATCATTTTCAATGAAAACTTTCGAAAAGTTCACTTTTTTATAAAAAAAAAAAAAATATCTTTTTCTTCTCTTTACTGAAGGACATTGAAAGTATTGAAAATAACTGGAGAACAGGACGTCATATGTTGCGTCGCATCAATTGTCGTTCGGAAAATTCAAAAGGTGTTTATTGTCTGCAATACGATGACGTTAAGATTGTATCAGGTTTACGTGATAATACCATTAAAATATGGGATCGCACGGATTTGCAATGTGTAAAGGTAGGCGGTATCTCTTTAAAAATAAGGTTTTGTTTTTAATATTACGAACCCTCATCCCATTTTCAGACTCTAACTGGTCACACTGGTTCAGTTTTGTGTCTTCAATACGATGACAAAGTCATTATCAGCGGTTCATCCGATTCAACGGTACGCGTCTGGGACGTTAACACCGGTGAAATGGTTAATACCCTCATACATCATTGTGAGGCCGTTTTACATTTACGTTTCAATAATGGCATGATGGTTACCTGCTCTAAGGATCGTTCGATTGCTGTTTGGGACATGACTTCACCAAGTGAAATTACTTTACGTCGTGTCTTGGTGGGTCATCGTGCCGCTGTCAATGTCGTTGATTTCGATGAGAAATATATTGTGTCGGCCAGTGGTGATCGTACAATTAAGGTTTGGTCAACTTCATCGTGTGAATTTGTGCGCACGTTAAATGGTCATAAACGTGGCATTGCCTGTTTGCAGTATCGTGATCGTTTAGTGGTCAGTGGTAGTTCAGATAATTCAATAAGGTGGGAGCTATAATTGATAACGAACAATTGGTATTCTATTTAAAAAAAAAAAAAAACATTAATTTGTTTTTAGACTTTGGGATATTGAATGTGGTGCTTGCCTACGTGTGCTTGAGGGTCACGAAGAATTGGTACGTTGCATACGTTTCGATTCCAAACGTATTGTTAGCGGTGCCTACGATGGCAAAATCAAAGTATGGGATTTAGTGGCAGCTTTAGATCCAAGAGCACAATCCAATTCATTGTGTCTGAATACTTTAGTGGTAAGTTGTGGGAAGTGTGAGTGTTCAAGTTTAATAATTAAATACGCTTTTTTTTCTTTCGTTTTATTTCAGGAACACACTGGTCGCGTTTTTCGTTTACAATTCGATGAATTTCAAATTGTCAGCAGCTCACATGATGATACAATATTAATATGGGATTTTCTTAATTTCACACCAAATGAGAATTCTACTGTTCGCACACCTTCACGTAAGTTTTTTATTATTAAATTTTATTGAATTTTAAACTGTTTATAAGAAATTTCGGTTTCTGTTTAGACTAGTCTATAGCCTAGCCTATAGTATAGTCTATAGTATAGCATATAGTACAGTATATTGTCTGGTCTATAGTCTAGCCTATAGTATAGTCTATAGTCTAGCCTATAGTATAGTCTATAGTCTAGCCTATAGTATAGTCTATAGTCTAGCCTATAGTATAGTCTATAGTCTAGCCTATAGTATAGTCTATAGTCTAGCCTATAGTATAGTCTATAGTCTAGCCTATAGTATAGTCTATTGTCTAGCCTATAGTATAGTCTATAGTCTAGCCTATAGTATAGTCTATAGTCTAGCCTATAGTATAGTCTATAGTCTAGCCTATAGTATAGTCTATAGTCTAGCCTATAGTATATTCTATAGTCTAGCCTATAGTATAGTCTATAGTCTAGCCTATAGTATAGTCTATAGTCTAGCCTATAGTATAGTCTATAGTCTAGCCTATAGTATAGTCTATAGTCTAGTCTATAGTATAGTCTACAGTCTAGTCTATAGTATAGTCTATAGTCTAGTCTATAGTATAGTCTATAGTCTAGTCTATAGTATAGTCTATAGTCTAGCCTATAGTATATTCTATAGTCTAGCCTATAGTATAGTCTATAGTCTAGCCTATAGTATAGTCTATAGTCTAGCCCATAGTATAGTCTATAGTCTAGCCTATAGTATAGTCTATAGTCTAGCCTATAGTATAGTCTATAGTCTAGTCTATAGTATAGTCTATAGTCTAGTCTATAGTATAGTCTATAGTCTAGTCTATAGTATAGTCTATAGTCTAGTCTATAGTATAGTCTATAGTCTAGCCTATAGTATATTCTATAGTCTAGCCTATAATATAGTTTACAGTCTAGCCTATAGTCTAGCCAAAAGTCTGGCGTATAGTCTAGTTTATAATCTAGTCTAGTCTATAGTCTAGTCAAAAGTCTTGCCTATAGTCTAGTCTGCAGTCTGATCTATAGTCTAGTCTGTAGTCTGATCTATAGTCTAGTATAATGTCTAATTTATAGTCTATTCTATAGCCTAGTCTATAGTCTAGTCTTATATATAGTCTAGTCTATAACCTAGTCTATTGTCTAGTCTGAATAACAAAAATTTCACCAAATTACTTCGGAATTCTAAAATACAATGACAAAAATGACTTAAGTTCGTAACGAAAAAATAATTTTTTTATTTAAAAACTTTTTCTCTTACTATTTTTTTAGCTGCTCTCATGGAACATTAACAATTTGTAAAAGATCAGATGCTTAGACATGACGGTTTAACTGTTTTTTTGGATTACGGTAAATTTGAAAAAACGTAACAGTTGTTGAGTGTGTGTGTATGTGTCTCAAATCATTCAACATTGTTGCGTTTTTAAACAAAAAATATTCCGTTACACTTGTGCAACCGATCTCTCTCCCTTTTAATCTCTACTAATAAAACCACAACAACTTCTCTTATAAAAGAAAATTAAGAAAAAATAAAAAAATTAAAAGCATATGTTCAATTAGCAGAGTGTATACAAACAAAAAAAATATTATTATGGAAAAAAAAACAAATAAAACCTGTTTAGTTTTTTTAAGGCTTTAAGGATAAATATTAAATTATAATATAATTGAGCAATTAAGCTTCAATATAAATAAAATAATAAATACAAAATTCATAAAAAGTTAATTACGCTCAAACAGAATTATAAACAAAAAAAAAAAACATTCATTATCTTCAACAAAATCATAAAATCGCTAGAAATTTTTGAATAAAATTATTATTATTTAAATTAAATGAAAAACTAAATTAAAATAAATAAAAGAAATTGTAATTATGATTATAAGAGAATTTTTTTGTTAAAAAAATAAACACTGTGTTTAATATAAAAACAAAAGTACATACAAAAATATTCCCGGTTAAGTCCTGATATCCCTTTGCTGACCCTCCCTCATAATAAAACTCCTACAGAAGGAAACATTATATAAACTTATTATAAAATTATAAAATACTATATTAAAACAAAACAAAATAAGGAAATTTTAAACGATGCAGTAATTAAAAAAAAAACAAGAAATAAATTAATAAAAATTGTTTAAATATTTATAAAAACAAAAGCAGAAAACCACAAATTTATTTACAAAACAAACAAAAACTATATACAACATAGATGATTAAATAAACGATTGATTATTGTATTTAATATGTATGTTAAAAATTAAATGATTTTGAAAAACTATTTAAAATAGTTTTTCACCATAAATTCCACAGTTAATATTGTTTATTTATTTTAACTAGATTTTTTTTTTCATTTTGTGTTTAATTTGTTCAATTAAAAGTTCTTCCATAACCAGTTTTTTTAATTTTTTTATTTATTTATTTCCTTTTATTAGTTAAGACGAATTATTTATGTTCGAAATTGGAACTTTGGAAAAAGTTGATCAATAATTTTTGTTCCAAATTGTCACCTTTTGAACTGGAGATTATTCCCTATTTTGATTTGCACGAAATAACTGTAAGCTAAACTATAGTTAATAGTTTAGGCTATAGTCCAAACTATAGTTTAGTCTATAGTCTAAACAGACTACGTCTGGACTATAGCCAGCCTATAGACCAGCCTATAGCCTTATCTAAAGTTCAGACTGTAGTCTATAGTCCAGACTACAGTCTTATCCTTAGTCAGTCTCGTATAGTCCAGACTATAGTATATTCTATAGTCCAAACTAAAGTGTAGTCTATAGTCCAGACTATATTATGGTCTATAGTCCAGGCTGTAGTCTTGTATACTCTATAGTCAAGCCTTATCTAAAGTTCAGACTGTTGTCAGTCTATAGTCCAGACTACAGTCTAGTCTTTAGTCACTCTCGTTTATTCTATAGTCCCAGACATTAGTCTATAGTCCAGACTATAGTGAATTCCATAGTCCAGACTATAGTGTAGTCTATAGTCCAGACTATAGTTTAGTCTATAGTCTGCACAAAGTCCAGAATTATCTTTTCAGCAACCATCAATTCACTAAACGCATTTTCAACGATTTAATTATAAGAATTAATTCTTAAAGCTTTGATATGTAATTTTATTAATTGCGAATATTAAATTCTTCTTGAATTTTGTCTGTATTCAAAAATGATCGAATTATCGAACTCAGTACGAAAAGCTGTTACATTTTTTGTTCTACTGTTATCATTAAACAGAAAACACGAAACGTTCTTTTTCCACTATCAGAGAGATTTGATTTAATTAATTCTACCCACAAAATATATATGTATAATAAAAATATAATAATAAACGTTAACTTATAATAATAATTATACATTCAGAAAATACAATAATTATTGTTAAATCGTTTATCATGCATCTATACTATATTTGAATAAAAACGAAAAAAAAAAAACATAAAACCGACTACAACCAGGAATGAAAATATAGTAATTGATAGATTAGAATTAATTAATGTTTGTGTAAATGTTTATATAATTTAACGAAAGCGAGTTTTAAAATATCATTTCATATTTAGGCAAAATTTTCTTTAGTTTTTTTTTAATGTTTTTAAAATATAATAATTTGCTTTTGCCTTTGTAGTTAAAATTGTTTTGATTTGGTTTTCGTTTTCTAACTGTAGTGTATAATTTAGCGCCTACCTGTATTTGTGCAAAACACCAACATAAAATTTTTGTTTAGAAATTGTTTTATTTTTTATTTAAAATCAAAAACCTTTTTTTAATTATAACTGATAGAAAGCGTGTAAGAAAAGAAAGAAATAAATTAGTTTTTAGCTATAAAACAAATATAAAAAATGTGTATTTATTACAAAACCTTTCAAACAATAGTAGAATTTGAAATTACGTTTTAATTTATTCGGCCGGACTTGGGTATGAATATTTTTACTTTGGTCACACGTCAAAATTTTGATCACAATTTGTTTATCCCAGCAAGCATTTTTAGAAATTTTTGATCACATTGGGGTCATTTATGACTCTTGCAAGATTAAAATAATCATATATGCGCTCATTTTATGATCTTAAATGATACATTCGTCGGGAGAAGGGAAGGTACCCTTCCCGCGGCTCTTCTAAACGAGTCTTTTATGAGCCCCAGTTCTGCCTGATTTTTTAATCTTTTTTCAGTCATTAATGAGCCGAATTACTGGTCGTTTTAGAGTTATTTTCGAATTATATTATAGTCATTTTTGAGTAATCAAAAGAAAAAATTTTTTGGTCTTCGGACTGCGCGAAATGTAACTACGAAATAAATTTACAAACAATCATATTTCGGAAGACCTATTTGTGATTGCTGTACATTTTGTTATTGTTTTTTCAAATAAATCAGATTTTAAACATTAAGGGCCAATCTTTAGGTGAAAGATTAGCGATTAAATTAAAATTAATCCTCGAAAGTTGTTTTTGAGTACTCAATTAGTTAACTTTGTTTGCAAGTTTAAGCGCCCAATGGAGGTGGTTTAAACTTGAGCAAAAAATTAAAAAGTGTAAACAGTTGATGCAAAAAAATTCATACAATTTTTATAAAAATAAACATTAAAATGTTTGATTTATTAATTAATATAAATTATGGAGACTTCAAAATACATTTTTTCGTTTTAAATTTAAGTTTTCATATAAAAAAGAAGAATTGTCTTCTTTTTTAATAAAACATGCATTGTTTTGATAACAAACAGTGACGTTTTCTGTTGTTCTGTATGGTAACACTGTAATGTTTAATCTTGTACTCAAAACCATCAAAGGGGATTTACATCTGATTAAATTTATTTTTAGATTAACTTATCTGATTATTAATTTGCAAAACCCGCTCTATTTAGAATTATTTAGACTTGACTTAGTGATTATCACAAAATAAGTTTTTAAAACCATCATATTTTAAACACCAGGATGATAAATTTATGATTGCTATACATTTTGTTATTGTTTTACAAATAATCAGTTTTCAGTCATATATCGGGATCATTTTCGCATTATTTTTGAAGCGCTCAACTTATTAATCACTTTTAGGTCATCAAAAGGAGTCAAAAATGACTCAGTTTACTAATTAGTTATCCAACAATCTTCCAAATGCTGGCTGGGTACCAGCAATCATTGAAGCAGAAAAAGCATAAATCACACACAGCTTTACATCTGGCCACATTAACCATTGAATACAACTCTTATAATTAAATATAAAAGCAGGCATGGAAAATTTAAATTTTGAGAAAACAATTCTACCTCCGGTAGGTTAGTGGTTAGCGTACTAGTCTGGTGGTGGTGGGTTCGATTCCCACCTGAGACACTATTTAAGGAGCGTACAACAGGCCCGATAGATTCGATTTGATGTATATATGTGCATCTTCCTTTCAAACTAACTAAGACGAGTTGAAAGTAGTAAAATGTAAGTAACATATGTATTTCTTTTGAGAAAAAAGGTAAATTTTTAGTGCCAAAGCACTAATAGTAGTAAACTTTTCATTCATGTATGCCAAATATAATCGTACACATATATAATATATATAATATGCTCTTCAATAAGTTCTTCATTTATTACTTGGTGAGGCATAAAACAGCCCTCAACGCCCACGACAATCGGTTCTTCGCACCGGAACGACTCAGAGTTCAACGATCAAGGATGTTTAACCACACCGACTTTACGTGTCTCTGTTGTTACAACAAAAACCTCTGACATAGTTATCAGCACTACATGGAGAAGATTGTGCTTTGTTATATTCCATTGTTAAAATATTATAGTATTTCTGAGGCACACTATGTTTTGGGTTATGAACGACTACCCCCGACAATAGTGTCAGAACTTGTGGTGGATTATTCCGTTCGCGCGAAGTTTCCACTTCCGATACACACTCACAAAGTAATCTGTATCTTCACAGCAATTTGTATGTAAATCAATGAATTCGCTGCATTCGCCGCGGGCAGTATGATGACTTTTTGCGCCAAAAAAGTCGTCATACCAAGTCTTCATACAACTCCGTGTATTTCTTGTGGTATGACGACCTTAACCGACACGGCATCACACATCAAATTTGTTTGATGTGCATATCTACATGTGAGTTTTGAGTCAAACAATTTGATGTGTCGCCAAGGCGCTTTAGGGTTTCTATAAGTCTTCATACACTTCATACAATGCGACTTGGCCTAGCCGCCGATATATTTAGCGTCAGCCGCCGGTAATGTTTGTCGACACAGTTCTCTGCACTAGTGTACAGCCAAACATCTTGTAAATTTTTCTCGGAATTGTTGAAATAAATTTCTGTGAAGTCGATAAAACAAGTTTTACTAAAAAATAATAAATAAAAAGTTGAAAAAAATATAAAACTGTTTAAAAATTACATAAATATGTCACAACTCAAAGAAACAACAACAGATAAGAAAATTTAACAATTTTTAAGAAGAAAATAAAAAAATAGGGATATATACTGAAAAAAAAAAACAACGTAGACAAAGCACCCTCATAAAATACACTGAAAAGTTGTGTCAACGTAAAGCAAAGAGAGAAAAAGCTGGTGCAGCAGCAGCACTGTTGGCAGACAGAAAACAACATCGTACGAAAAAGAACGTAAAGTAAATAAAAAGAAAGAAAAGTTATTTCAATTCTACTGTGTGTCTCTAGAAAATAAGTAAAAAGTGTAAAGAAGTTTGTAGAGTGTGTTGTTTAAAAAGAAAGAACGAACGTAGTAAATAAGAAGAAAAAACATTTAACGACCTAAAAAGTTTTTTTGTGTTTTACCAGCAGAGAAACTAACTCATTACGAATTCTAAACATGGATGATACTAGTATACAGGACAAGGAGCGCTATGCCAGCCGCGAAAACCATTGTGAGATTGAGCGTAGAAGACGTAACAAAATGACGGCTTATATTACAGAATTATCGGATATGGTGCCCACTTGCAGTGCTTTGGCTAGAAAACCGGATAAGCTAACCATTTTGCGTATGGCCGTCGCACATATGAAGGCTTTGCGAGGTACTGGCAACACCAGCAGTGATGGCACCTATAAACCTTCATTCCTAACTGATCAGGAGTTAAAGCATTTGATTTTAGAAGCAGCAGATGGTTTTCTATTTGTAGTGTCTTGTGATTCAGGACGTGTAATCTACGTGTCCGACTCAGTGACACCAGTATTGAATTATACCCAAAGTGATTGGTATGGCACAAGCCTGTATGATCATATACATCCGGATGACCGTGAGAAGATAAGAGAACAGTTATCTACTCAAGAATCGCAAAATTCTGGACGAATTTTAGATTTGAAGTCGGGCACGGTTAAAAAAGAAGGTCACCAGTCGTCCATGCGCTTGAGTATGGGCGCTCGCCGTGGTTTTATTTGCCGCATGCGTGTGGGTAATGTCAATCCAGAATCAATGGTAGCGGGTCATTTAAATCGCTTGAAGCAGCGCAATTCCCTGGGTCCTTCTAGGGATGGCACAAATTTTGCTGTTGTCCACTGTACGGGTTATATAAAAAATTGGCCACCCACTGAAATGTTTCCCGGTGTACACATGGAGAGACCAGATGATGACATGCATGGTTCCCACTGTTGTTTAGTGGCTATAGGACGTTTACAGGTCACCTCCACGGCCTCAACAGATATTTCAAATTCGAACAATCAATCAGAGTTTATTACACGTCATGCGGTCGATGGCAAATTCACCTTTGTCGATCAACGTGTTATGAATATTTTGGGTTATACACCACCAGAGCTGTTGGGTAAAATATGCTATGATTTCTTCCATCCCGAAGATCAATCTCATATGAAGGAAAGTTTTGAACAAGTACTCAAACAAAAGGGACAAATGTTCTCTTTAATGTATCGCGCCAGGGCCAAGTCTGGTGAATATATTTGGTTAAGAACTCAGGCTTATGCTTTCCTCAATCCCTATACCGATGAAGTGGAATATATTGTTTGTACCAATAGCTCAAATAAGTCTTCATTACATTCGGGAGGTGCCGGAGGAGCTCATGATAACAACAATCCCGAACAAGCGGAACATGTTTATGTAACTCCTGGAGTGGATTATACTCTACAAGCTAGACGTGATGTTACACCATCGGCAGGAGGTCCTGATCCCAATATGTATGCTGCACATAATATGCTGGCAGCAGGTGGAGCTCCACCACCCCACTTGGGCCAGCCAAATACACAGCAACCCCCTAATGTACAAAGACCAGCTTCAACACAAAATCCCATACCTTACACGTACGACACTACACACTCACCTTTAGCTTATAATACGGCTCCGGGAGGCCCGTCGCCAAATACAGCTCATATGGCTAAAATACCCAAAGCCAATACTTCACCCACACCCCAAACAAGCAATTGGCCACTGAGACCACCGCCGCCGCAGCAACAGCAGCAACCAGTTACTGAGGGATATCAGTATCAGCAGTCTAGCCCGGCCAGATCACCCAATGGCCCTACATATACCCAATTAAGTGCAGGTAATACACGTCAAGCGCCCACATATCAAACGGCCCCCACTAATGCAGCTCCCACGGCCATGTGGGACTGGCAAAATGCCCAACATCCAGCCCATGTCGCCCACCCACATCCTGCTGTTCATCCTCACTCACATCCCCATGGTGCACATCCGCATGCCCATGTCCCGGGCCAGGGACCACCGCAACAAGAGATCAATGATATGTTACAAATGTTTGATCAAAGTGCAGCTGGAACATTTGAGGATCTTAATATAAATATGTTTAATACACAATTTGAATAAGATGAAGCCTCTACAACAAACAACAAGTAGTTAAAGTAATGTATTCATAATTGAGAAACGAACAAAATATTTAATTACACAAAAATGGCAAATATAGAATTTAAGAATTTCATAAAACTAAGATTTAAGTAAAAATGATAAATACACACACATCGTTTATTCACATTTGAAAACAACATTAATTGGAATTGTAAGATTAGCTAAAAAAACTATAAAGAGAGAAAAAAATAACACAAGTTATTAGTTTCGTTTAGAAATTGTAGCTCTTCTACTTATTCAACGTTAACTTTATATTCATAGCTAGATTAAAAAATATACTTATAATAATACTACTTATTATTGTCTGCAAAGACATATTCATAATACATTCAACATTTTACGCTATTTTTTAACAAACATCCAACAATTGTGTAAGTTATTAATCTGTAAAATTATATCTTAAATATATTGAAGATTTTGCATTTTTTGGACAAAATTTCAAAAATTCTATTTGAGTTTTTATTTCATTTCTTTATAAAATTGTATGCAATTCAAACATATTCTTTAAATAGCATTGTCTTTTTAAGAATAGACAATTTTTCAAAAACCAATCATTAATTCATTGTTTAGTGATTGTTCTTAAAGATTTTAACAGAATTCTTAATTTTTAACGAGTTTTCAAAACAAATAGAAAAATTTGATTTATTCTTTCGTTACGAAGGAAAATGACATCTCAAATGTTATGGAAAAAAGTAATTAAAATGTCATCATTTAATTTCTTTAAGTGTTTTGTTCTTTAATGGAATTTATTACACTTGTTTCTCATGACACTAAGAACTAATTAGGTGACTACAACTGCATATTCCACTTTGAACAACAAGCAATTGAAAATAGTTTTAAATTGATTAAAAAATTAACATAGTCGTCACGTACTATAATAAAAACTAAACTAAACGGCCATAATGAGTTCTTAAAATATTTAATTTAATAATAATAATTAACAGTATAAACTGATATTAATTAATATTATCTATTTATGAATATATAGAAAAAATATGTGGCAAATAACCCTGATCTTGTTAGTCATTATTCGATTAGTCTATGTAAATCTATACCCATAAACTTTATTAACTTATTGCTCGTTTGCATAGTTTCATAACTTAAAATACAAACAATTTTCAAAAAAAGATTATTCATGAAAAACTTTCTGAAAGATTTTATTTTAATTTATGAAAAACAAAAGACAGTTTCGCAGGTTATAATTGGAATTATTTAGAAAAAACTCAAAATGTATTGAAATTTTAATACGGAAACGAATGACTTACAGACGAGTACAAAAACATACATACATTAATACATATTTTTTTAATTATGACAGACCTCAAGTAAATGAGCAATATAAAAATTGCTTATGTGTAAGAAATAGCATATATTAATTGCAATGACCTTAAATTTTTGTTCATGTCTGCAGTTTTCTTTTTCTACTTTTTCGTTTAGCCAAATTTACATTTAATTGTGTAATGGTTTTATTTGTTGAAAACTATTTTTCTTAAAGTTTTAAAAAAAATTAAAATAAAAATCATCAGATTGAAAAAACTTATCCTAATCCAACTTATATATGTATGTCGAAATTTCCTTTAAATTGTATTGTGGTTTCAATCGCTTTCGAATGCTACAATTTGCCCCGAGAACAGCAAGAAAACAAAAAATAATATGGAAACGATTTACCAATAAAATAACAATTATAGTGGTATAATATATACATACATACATACATGTAAGAAAAACAAAAAATTTTATTTTATTTTGGCAATAAGGAATACATATATCTAAATATACAGCATCAGAAGCACTGCCTCCTTCAATTATCAGTTTGTCCTTCTCTATCACTTTCACAATTTGTCTCATTTGCATCGGTTGTCGGTACGCCCTGATCTTCAATATTCTGTAGATTTCTCAAAGCCCGCTTATAGTCTCTAAATCGTGGCCGTTTAGCAGCTATTGTTAATTCAGATTCACTTTCGCTGGTAGTGGCAGTTCCACCACATTGATCATTTTGCAGTTCTTCATCGTCTAAGTCACTGCCCGATTGTGCTAAAGCGGCTTCTTTGCGTTTGCGCACATTAAGCCAAGCCGACATTATTTTATTCATAGCCGGTTTTTGGCTTTTAACCATTTCGATAGGTTTATTACATTGTTCCGTTTTGTTGCGAGAATTATTGACTATATTTGATACTTGATGCCATTGCAATTTGGTAGCAGGTCTTAAAGTGGCTAAAGCTTGCTCGTCCGAGACATTTTTAAAATCTAGCCAATTCTATAAAGGGAAATTTCTTATATACTCTACTAGTGTATAAAAAAGTTTTACTTACATTTACTTGCTCCTCAGTTTCTAATATAGCAGGCATACGATGATGAAGCCAAGACATAATTTTTGATGATTCAAAAGTTATTATGGCGTAACTATAGATTTTATCACCATGTTCATCTTCCCAAATATCAAAAAGACCAGCCATTTTTAAAAGGTTTACATTCTCTGGCTGCCAAGTGTTGCGATCATAAATTTTAATTTCATCCTTTTGTGGCATATATAATAGATGTGCCGCCCGTTCGGAAGGTTTAGCAGACTTGGTGGTTTGCCATTCATAGAAGCCTTCGCATAATATCACACAACGTTGGCCACGCTTAAAGGGTCCTCGATATAACTTGGATTCCAACATATGTTCCAAACGACAATTGTTTGTGGACAAACCATGTTTACGCCAATCACCCTTATGCCAAAAAGGTATCATGCCCCACATCATGGGTACTATCAGGCGAGTGTTTCTGTGGTTATTCGAATCTTCTTCGTCATAAAAATGGTGAGTTGACACTAGAACGGGTGTAATATCGGTGGGTGCCAGATTATAAGAGGGACAATATTTGCGACCGCAATTAAATTCCAAACGATATTCTGGCTCAATTTCATCTTGCGGCTCCTCCTTTTTAACAGTTGTGACATGGTTTATTTCTCCACATTTTTCTTTACATGATTTGTCGTTTTTATCCTGGCGATATTGGTAACGACATGCTTTTGTTAATTCACTGGGTTCCAAAGTTCTGTAAATATTTTGTATTAACATTATGCAGTTTAAATATTTTGTTTTACTTACAAACAAGTCCTACCACACATTTTAAAATTGTCCTCGTCCAAGAAATGAATAAAAAACAATGGTTTACTTGCCAACTTTTATGCTAAAATATATAAATCTATTTTAATTGTTTTGGTTGGCAATATTGTTAAAACTGTAAACAAAACAAATTCATATAAGGTGAAGTTCTCAGATATTTTAACTTTTTTATATATGGCGTTTGACAGCCGGTCATTTGTGTGCTAGTTTTTATATAATGAGTTTGACAGTTTCGGTATTAATTTCCTTGCAAAGAAACTCAGCTGGCATTATCTAGTAACAAATTGAATAACAGCAGTAAACAAGCCGACAACAGTTTTCTTAGCAGCAAAATTGAGAAAAAACCAATATATTAAAAATGGGTGATCGTTATAATATTCATAGTCAGTTGGAACATTTACAAAGTAAATATATTGGTACTGGTCATGCCGACACCACAAAATATGAGTGGTTAACAAATCAGCATCGTGATTCCTTGGCCAGCTACATGGGACACTATGATATGCAAAATTATTTTGCCATTGCTTTAAACGAGACAAAAGGAAGAGTAAGATTTGATTTAATGGAACGCATGCTGCAACCGTGTGGACCACCGCCAGAAAAACCTGAAGAATAATGTATTTGCATAGAAAAATAAAGAATAAATAAAAAAGAAAACAAATGTGTTTCATTGGAGATGTCAAAAACTGTAGAAATGTAAATCGATAACAATGTTCGTTCCATTAACGCTAGAGATGCCAGAAGATATTGCACTTCATTGTTTTATTATAGCTCTGAATAAAATACATTTTAAAAGAAAAACATTTGTTTTTATTTAATAAAGTGAAATTTAGCAAATTGTTTTTAATATTAAATTAGTAATAAAAATGTTCTTGTTATACCAAAATTATCATCGCTAAGATATTTAATGTCAATTTAAGCAACACTGAACATTCGAGTACGACAAGCAATTTGCTTGTCCTGCGCCGGTTCGGCTTATAGCAGCCGAAAAATTTCAAAATATTGAAAAAGTATTTAAGTGTAAATACTAAAAGTATTGATTGAATTGGCCTGTTTGTGAGATCTAGAAGATTAAAAAATGTAAGTAATGATGTTAATTAATTATTATTTATTTGTCTCTAAAGAATGTCTTTCTTTTTAATAAAGAGGAGACATCATAATGGTCTCCTGGAAGAATGCCCACAAGAGAGTGGCAATTGTACACCTATATACACCATAGGTGACTAGGGACCTAAGTGGGTGGTGGTCGGTCGGTCAGTGGTGGTATATTATCACCTAGAGGCAACGTACGGATGATCTCAGCAGAATCACTACCATACACCCATAATAGAGCGCAATGTCTGTCTGGTGTTCCTTTCAGTGAAGCTCTTGTTGTCTCCAAACACTATTGTAGCTGAATATTTACAAGAAACAATTGTTAAGCCGCCTTTTATAAAAATTTATAGCTTTGTAGAGAATGTCTTCACGACCTAGAGGATATAACCTGGGTTGTCGTCTTATATATGTATGTAGATGTTGTTTGGGCAAAATATTGGTACTAACCATTGTGTGCTTTATGTCGACTTTAGATCCCTTATAATTGTCACACTATATCCAATAAGCATTCTTGCTGGAATTAAAGTTTAAAACAAGTTCAATTCCAGTCAAACATTCAAATTTCAAGTGTTGAAATACACTTTCATTACACTTTAATTGCACAAGTAGGTGATTTTTATAAACTATTGTTAAACAGACACTTTGCAGCATGTCTACATCTTAAAACGTCCAAATAAATCATCCAGATATTTTAAAATTTCCATGAAGCCATAAACAGCAGAAATATTTTCTATAAAAAATGATCAATAAATATTTTTTTCATTTAAATTTAATAGTTTAATAGCAAACAAACCTTTTTAAATCACTTAAATACCTTTTGTTTAAATTTAGAATCGAAAATGAACGAGTTTAATCTATATGTGTGATGAAATACAAAATATTTTATTCTTTTAAAAATGTTTTATTTTTCTTTTGTTTTACAAGAAAATAAAGTTTGAAGAAAATTTTTTGGTTATTTTTTGCATGAAAACAGTATTGGAATTAAAGTTGAAATCCAGTTAAATTTCAAACACTTGAAATCATAATTTTTGAGTGCTTATTGGGTATGAATCATTTATAAAAAAAAAAAGTTTATCTGAAGGTATCAATTGGTTGGTTCCTTGGGATCATCACAATTTTAATAAATAGCAAACCTTTTATTTGACTTGCTTCGTTAGATGGTACAAATTTTGTAACTGAATTTTCGACCAGCTCCCGTAGCCCGATTTGGCTGAAACTTGGTACACATAAAGACACCTGAAGACAATGCAAAAAACCGGAATTAAGAGGAATTAAATAAAATTAAATTTACCATTAAATAATTTTAAAATGTATATGTACACCCTGTGGTTTTTGAATTGAAAAGTGGTTTGTGAATTTGAAAAAAATGGAATTGCCAGATATTAAAACCAAATTGGAAAAAATAATATTTGTTTGAATTTTTTTGGTTTGTGCTCAAACTAAACAAAAACAATTTATATAATACTTAAAAGCTTTTCATAAAAGCCTCTTTTTAAATAATCTTGTTTATTACTGAATAAATAAATAAAATATCTTTGTTTTTACGTTATTAATCATTTTCTTAATGCAAAATTTTTTAGAAACTGATTTTCTGCAAGATGTTTTATATGGAGTATAGTGTAGGATAGGCCGATCCTCGTAAAACTTGGAGAAAGGATTTGTTTTTAATTTTTATGAATTTTTTATCCATCCCTGCATAATTTCTCACACATCTTTTGTGCTTGCTCTGTTTGTTGTTATAAACAATATATTTGCTTCCAAAATCCCACTTTCTGATCTCTCGGATTCCGTATTTATTAAAATCGTTGAAAATTTAAAAACTAAACGTAGCTGAAAACTTACGGCTTACAGTCGATTTTAAGCCGCCGCCGACATATTTAGTGTCAGTCGCCGCCGCCGTTAATATTTGTCGGCGCAGGGCTCTTGGAGAAAAAACCACGAAATCGTCTCGAAATATTACACAGAAAAATATATAAATTGTTTTATTTTTACTTCTAAATTTTTGTTAATTAATAATTTAAAAAGTCAAAATATACATAAAAACTATAGAACAATTTTGCTACACTACCAACATATTGTAAAAAGTACGTGTTAATATTTTCAATAAAAATTTTTCTCACCGAATATGCAAAAAAGCAATAGAGTGTGAAAAGAAAAAAAATACATAGGAAAAATGAAAAATTTTCACTTGTCATGGCAATTTAAATTATAAAAGGAAGAAAAATGTCTTGAAAAAAAGAAAAAGTTTAATAATTAAAATTAAGTCATTACGAAAAGTTTCTTAAAAAGAAATTAACAACAAAATATAATAAAATTATTAAAGCTAAAGAAAAAACATATTTTTTGTTTATATGTACCAAAAGCCATAACTTGGTAATTGTTAAAAAAGTGCAAAAAAATTTTGGTTATTTAATAATTGTTTTGTTGTAATTGTGTGTGTGTGAGTGGAGCAAACAAGAAAAAAGTATAACATTTTTTTACCTTCGCGGGACATAACGACGGTGACCCAACCATTCAATTCAAGTTCGTTTATGCACGATTATATTGAGCCCCCTGCATTTTAAGCGCATTGTTCTCTTACGAAAAAATGTAACCATAAATTGTATATTTATTATAAATATGTTACAAATAAGTGTGCATATCAACTGCGCCTCAATTTCCATGCATAGTTCTTGAAAAATAACATAAAAATTATTAAAATAATTTTATAATGCGAAACAAAAATATAGTATAAAAAATTAGCAAATAATGCAGTTCTTGTTTTTTGCATTTTTCTAATGTCATCTCTTTTCAACTAATTAGAAGAAACAGTTAAACAAGAGATTTTTTTAAGTAATCTAAAAAAGAGTACAAAAGGGAGATGTAAATTGAAAAGAAGAAAAAATAAGAAAACAATTATTCTGATTAATAACCAGAGCTGTATAAAGTTGCTGTTTATTTTTATTTTTTCTAAGAGAAAAAATCGCTTAAGTAATAATTTAAATTATCTGCAAGAATGTAATGAAATTTGGATTTTTGTCTTGTCATTTTGTAAATGCAAAACAAAAGGTCTTTCTTCGTGTTATGTTTTGTTTTGCCAGATTACGAACGTTTTAGCGTACTGCAGTGATGCCTATTAATATAATGATTATGTTTTAATTGTGGAATAGAAAAACCACCAAATTCGTATAATCCCGATAAAATAATACCGCACACTTAGTATTAGGATTGGTTTGGTTCATATGATCAATCATGTAACGATCTCTACAGAATATAGAATAGTACTCAATTGTTTTAAATGAGGGACTTCAAAAGGAATCTCTCTTTACATATTTTATAGTACATAGTCTCTAAAAACTTGATCCTTTAAGGCAAATATATGTTATTACCAGATAGGTATTATTCGAAATATGTAATCAATTTTAGATTCTATTTGTGCAAATATGTAGCTTCTTTACGTTGAAGTTATTGAGTAAAATAAGTTTTTCGTATGGACCAAAGATATAGAAAATAATATAAATCGTAATCTCAATAAGTTACAGATTATTCTTCCCGGCTTTCTCGAAACTTTGTCCCATACAAAAAAAAAATAAATAAATAAATTGGTAAAATGTTTAAAGAACTAATAAATTTATCAATAAAAAGCTTTAATTAAGATTTTAATGAGAACATAAAAGTCATAGTGTTAATTAAAACTCTTTTATTAACTAATTATATATTCATAAACTTTGTTTATTTTTCATAAATTTTTATAAACTGGAGTTTTAACATTACTATTTACTTTTTTTTGTTTTATCGACATGTTAGCATCACTCACACAGAGAACGTCATCCGAGAGACTGAAAAGAAAATAAAGAAGAAAAATATTCATACAATTTTTTCTTTTTGCACAAACATTAAGTTAAAAATATCGTTGTTTTATTGCTCGATATATTTTTTAAAAGAAAATAAATTTTACAATGAAAATTGCGCTGCATTTTTAGTATTAAACAAATGAAAAGAAAACGGAAAATTATTTAATTTAGTCAATAACAACAAAGAAATTTTTTCATCAATTCTTTTGTGTGTGTGTATATTTTTCTTCAGATTTGTGTCTGTCAGTCTGCTTAATTCTCATGTTCTTATTTTTGTTGTGCAAAAAAGTTTTCGTCGGTATTTCATTATCTACTTTAAAAAACAAAAAAGGTAAAAAACATGTCAAATAACATTAATTCACTAAAGAAAATATGAAGAAAAAAAAAAACTCAAATAATTACAAAAGTTAATAGGTACCTATTGAATTATTGTTTTGTCATATTTGGTAATTCTTATTCGAATTAGGTGCAGAAAAATTTATAGGTATATTTTTTAAATTAAAATGCATTTTTTTCACAATGTATTTATCTGTGAATCAGTTTTATTTTTATATATAGAAGATGTATGTATGTATAAATGTAAATATGTATGTATATTTGTGTCTACCATAGAAATAACTTGTTTATATTTTAGTTGATTACAATTTAAAATAATGATTTCATTGCGCATCCAAATACCTACATATAGAAATTATTAATTATTTGTGAAGTTTATTATTATTATTACTAAACTAATTAGTACAACGACACTACAAAAAGTTAATATTTATTAATAGATAGATGAACGCTGATCTACTCTTTGCTGGTCGATATCTACTAATTGTTTCATTTTAATTTCTTTAAGACAAACACCTCTGTCTTTGCCTTATATGATTTTTATGTTTAATTATGGGTTTTACGGGATTTCCCGGATATTCTGCAAAATTCATAGCCTTTATTATTTGTTGTGTTGTATGTTAATAACCGGGAATTGTAAAATTTTTTTAGTATTTGGCATTGTATTCCTATAGCACTAATGTGGGGAGGATAGGTATTATACATTTGTGTTGATGTTTGAAGCACCCAACAATAATGGTCCTATACCCACCTTCACTTTATAAGACAATTTAGCTATGGCTATCTGTTTCCATGTAAAGATTGTGCGCACGCTACATGTCGCAATTTTCAAGAAAATTTGATGATACATACTCTTTTCAGGGCCCATCAGGGCGAATCATATTAAAAATGATGGAAATCGGTTCATATTTTCACATAAGACTGCACACCGAAATGGAATTTTGAGCTTATAATTATGTTAAATGTTTTAGCAGGTATCTCTACAAAAATAGGCAAAATTTAGTTTAGTAAAAGTCTAAATGATACTTCCGATTTTCGTAATGATCGGACCTCATTTGAAGCTCCATACAAATACTACTTCCAAAAATAAATTTATCACGATTTTATCTTCCAAATACTTGATAATTTATATTTAAAGGAAATGTAACCAAAATTAGAAGCACTCAACAAATTTAACCAAAATTTCCTTTAAGTAGAAAAAAAAAATATCGAAAATATTTTTACGGTCCACATATTTCTGATTTAAGTCTGAAAGAGTAGGGACATATTTAATATTGATAAACCAAATGTGCTTAAATATTTCATAATATTGTGGAAAAAATTTCTGAAAAAAATTGTATGAGAACAAATACTGTAATAACTTAAATCGACTTAATTCACTCGATTTACAATAATAGCAAAACACTTGAGTAACATTATTTTCTATATAATTACTTATCGTTGTAATGACTAAGTTTGAATATATTAATCTGAAATTAACTATACTAAGTATCTACAAAGTATTACCTCAAATATAAACGTTTTTTTTTTTATATTTACTTTTCAGCATAATTTGTTGCTAATCAATTTAAAACTTCATTAAAAAAATACAAACCCAACCCCTTTCAACCTTAAAAACAAACCTCCCTTAAACTAGAATACAAAAACAGGAAATTATTAAAAGTTTGTTTTTAATTCCAAGTTCCAGAAGTATAAAAAAAGAGCACCAACATAATAAAACAAGCCTAAAACCTTAAAATAGCCATAAGGTGCTATAGGCAAAGCCTTTTGATTCAATTCGAAAATAAGAAGTCTATCTATAGCATTACAAAAAAATCTATAAACAAAACCAATAAAAGAAGGGAGGCAGGAGGCGGTGGATGTGAAGAATTACAACGGAAAAACTATTAAGGTTTTCGTAACTATATAATGAGTCCGTCATGAAGGTAGATATATATTGTTCATAATCAATAACAAATGTTTTTTTTAAATCTCATGAAAATCTTTCTATTTTTATATAAAAAAGGTGTCAGCTGCGATTCATGTCTTAAATCGAATTTCAATGGTCGCCGCTATAAATGTTTAATTTGCTATGATTATGATTTATGTGCCGATTGTTATGAGGAGGGTGTCACCTCAACGCGCCACTGGTTGGATCATCCAATGCAATGTATTTTAACGCGTTCGGATATTGAGTTGTTCTTTGGTGGTGAGATGCTCAATTCGGAGCAGCCACAAAGTTTTACCTGTCCTTATTGTAAAAAATGGGTTTTAGTGATGCCACGCTATTGGAGCATGTAACATCGGAGCATACGGAAACCAGTTTGGAAGTGGTAATGTCCGGTATGCGCTGGCCTGCCAGGTGGTGAACCGAATCTAGTCACAGATGATTTTGCCGGTCATCTATCACTGGAACATCGTACTGGACCACGGGAATTGATTTCATTTTTGATATCCTTTTTTGAAAAAAATACATAGTTTATATTTCTTATATTTTATTATGAATATTTAAGATTCGTCTTAAACGAATCTATTATTTCTTTTTACTTTATATGTATGGTTTTCTCCTTAACTTCTTTTGCACGACGAACCATCAGCTATAAGACATGGAGGCGGAGTACGTCGTATACCAGGACGTACACTTGGTGGCCCACGGGCTCGTCGTTCAAATATGCACTTTAGCTCTTCAAGTGGTCTCCTCAGCATTGTCACCATCTGGACGAGAATCGGTTGATCCGATTGCTGAATTACTCTCACAATTGTCGGGTGTTAGACGTGGCGGTCCGCCCCACTTCACAGCTGCAGCAATTGCAAATGCAAATACAATTGGAACGCCAACAAGTGACGGCAAATATTTTACCAAATTTTAATACTCAATATGAAATGGACATGGTTTGATTTTACTGAATATTATCTTTTTATTTTCGTTATGTAGGCTACACGCCAGCAGTTGGAACGTTTGCCAAGACGTGCACATCCTTTGGTCTCATCAATCGAATTCAAATGCAACCATGGCCGAGGTAATCAGTGGTGCTACTGGGTCGGGTTCGGGCAGTGGAGGCAGCGGTCTTATAAGTGGTGGTAGCAATGCTAATGGAGGCGCTGGTGGCAGTGGCTCGTGCCGCACCAATGAATGGTCTGTGTCTGCGCAACATCAGTCGCAGCAATCGAGTCTGGCTGCGAATGCTTTGATACTAGAGAAGTAACGTTGAATTCTAGCAATTATTTGACTTTCAACGATTTCGGTTTGTCACCACAATTATCCTCCTTTCTACAGCCTGGTGGCAGTGGAATCAGTGGTAGCAATGGTAACAGCATGCTGGGCATGACAATTGGTGGCTCTGGAAGTGGCGCAAATGCTGGCTCTGGCGCCGGTGCAGCAGGAAGCGGTGTCAATGGCGCTGACGGTGCACAATCGCAGTTCTTGCTCACAAAATTTATGCAACCAACATTGAGCGATGCCGAATGGGCTGAAATCGGTCGGGAACGTGCAGATCGGTAAGTACATGTGGTGGATGTATATTTTGTTTTCATGTTAACGAAATTGATTCAATTGGGTTTACTTTACTTTCAGTTCACAATTCGTACAGGCCTTACTGCTTTCAACTTTAGCTTGTCCTTCTCTGGAACTAGAGGATGATGAGAAGCGTGCCGAATCCCAGGAGACTACCAACAGTGATAATGTAAATAATGAAAGGCGGCGGCAGCAGCAGCTGCTGCTAATAGCAACAACACAAACACAGCCAATGATAGTGAAAATTTTGTCGATAACGATGTGCGAGAAACGATGATGAATAACAATGCTGCTGATGCATCGGCACAAACCACAAATACCACAAGCAGTGGACGCCAACAAGTCCATCAACAGCAACAGACTTCGCCCGAAGACTTTGTTGTCGAAGATCTAAAACAACAACAGGCGTATTCAAGCAAAAAGAAAGTGGCTAATAGTGCAGCTGGCATTAAGTCAACTAGCGGCGGTGGAGGTGTCGCAGGCAATCCTGCTACTGGTGCCGCAACAGATAGAGGTATTGAAAGACGTGGTCGTCCACCACCCGCTTCTGCGGGAGCTGTCGCTGCTACCGGTTCACAGTCGCAACAACAGCAACAACAAGGTCAACAACCACAAAAATACAAACAGAGTGCTGCCGCTTCTGCAGCAGCACCAGCGATGTCGGCAGCAAATACAAATCAAATACCCGATACTAGGTAGTGTTATCATCTCCATAGACCCGCCAAATCACTACAACAACAACATAAAATCAACATGAATTGCAAGAATAAAAACAACAACAGAGAGCATTGCCGCAACAGCCGCAATAACAATATTCACTCTTAGCAAGCAATTAAACAGCTAAGAGGAAGAAGAACATAACAGAAAACAAGAAAACAACAGATTAGCAACAAAAAATAAACATCTTTAATTTAAAAATACAAAATAAATCAACTAAAGCACATGTAATAATGAATTATGTAGTAGTCATCGTCGTCTCTGTGGCTTTGTAACAAAAAAAAAAAAAAAAAAAACAACAACAACAAAACAAAACTATCAATTTGGCCTGAATTGTCTTAGTTCCATTTGACCAAATAATGTTTTTTGATTCATTTTTTATGTTTCATCCCTTCACGTTAATTGTTTCGCATTTGGAACTGATTTTAATTAGATACAATTGATGGTTGATGTTTTCTTTCGATTCGTTTATTTTAACATTTGGACGATCTATGTTCATAAACTCTCAACATGTGCGTGCACAGCAGCAGTTGCAACAACAACAACAACAACATAATATTCGTTTATTAAAATAAATATAATATTATAACTATTTAAAAAATTTATATAATTATAAAAAAAAACAAAAAGAAAAGGAAAAACTCTTATTGTAATCATAACACTAAAAGAAATTGATATTTTTGTTTATTCAGCGAATGTGTAAGGTGTAAGTATTAAACATGTCTTTCATCTATCAGTTTATAGGAAAAAGTTTTTTTAAAATAACTAGCTCAAATTCCACTTTAAAAAATGCCAAAACCGTATGCTAATCTCTGTTAACGTTTAAGAGTTATACGATTTCCACTAAAATCTTAATTCAAATTTCAGTTTAATGATGTGTTTGATTACACGATCATAACTTCAAAGTTATGAAAGATTATAGCCTGAAAGTTTCAGCGTTAGTAGAATGGAATTTCAGCTTTCATGTGATACCAAATTTATTTGGTTCTGAGCAAATTTTCCTAAAAATTAAACGTTTTTAATATAAACCTTTAAAATAGAATCAGTGGGCGTGGCATTGGGCGTTAATAAAATACTTTGTTTTATAGCCCAATTCCATATCTAAAGCATGGAAAAAATTTCATCTTTGTATCTGCAGTACTTTATGAGATAAAGCAATTTGAATAAAATAGTTGTAAGGTATTCACCTACTACCACATTATGTTCACCTAATACTTTACAAAAAATGCAAATTTTATTTTCAATTTTTTTACGGCCTCAATGGAAAATTGGCTATATTTTCGTTGTTTAAAGAGCTGGGAAGCGGAAAATTGGTGAACTGTTAGTAGAGAAGTTTAGCTATCAATTAATAGAAAAATATTTCGCCACGCCCATTTTTTTTAAAGATATAACTGTTTTTAAAATAAAACCCCAAAATCCTATAAGAAGGCGTGGCGGGGGACGTTAATATAATATTTAGCTGTATAGCTTAAATTTCACTCTACAATATGGTCAAAACCACATCTTAATATCTGTTAACGTTAAAGAGTTATACGATTTCTACTAATAACATACTTAACACCTTTTTATACATTTCCGTTTAATGATGTATTTGATTACACGTTCTTCTAAATTATAAAAGTCATTAGTCTTTTAGTTCCCCCAATAGTAAAAATGAAGTTCAGCTTTCAAGCTGTAAAAAGTTTATTTGACCCTGACCACTACTTCCAATAATTTCTTTTAAAATTCAATCACTTTTCATTTTGTACATGTTTCCATTTTTAACTTATAACTTAACTGTATTAAGTTATATTTTATTAATATAAATTCTAATATCTAAAATATTTAATATGAAGTAGCTACATCTAAATCTT